AATAAATGCATCTGGACCAAATGACTGAAAGAATACATCAGGGCTTTATTGTTTTTAAAAGAAGATTCTGACTTTTTCAACTTCAGAGAGATTATCCTTGCAGACAGCAGTGACAACAGTACAAGAAGCTAAGAACAAGTAACACAGTAAAGTCAAAAGCAAAGATGGGTTCTCTGGCTCCTCCTTCTGCGGAGGCTGTCAGAGACTTATGCTCTAACCCCAGATGCCCTGTGAATCGCTCTCTGAAAGGTGACAGTGCAGGAGTTATGTTAGACTCATGCATTGATGCAGTCCTCAGACTACTGTGGTATTGTTCATCATCAACTGTGACAAGCGACATAAAAAATAATTACTCCTAGAAGAAAAATGACTAGGTCACACGAGGTAAGGCCATATCCTTGTGCCTGCAAGTCCAGATACAAGGCTTTTCTACTGATAGCCAACCCTTTACTGAAAACTACAATAATTCAAGATTAGTGGCCTTACTGGATTAACCATCCAAAAAACTCATCACAGATTCCTATAAATCTGAGCCTGCAACATGGAGAAACATTTCCCAGTGTTGTACACATAGGTTTCTGTATCGGTAACAGTAGTGCCAACTTTTTAAGGATCTACAGTTTCTCATTTATTCATATTCATTATGTCACTCACATATGATTATCTTTTTGGCACCACATCTTATTTCAGTTAACTCTTCATAGTGATGAAGCCGGTACTTCCAAGAGAAACAATTTTTTACATGAATACAGCTCATCACTCAATCAAACTAGTTGGGCTGATTGGCCTACTCCCATTTGTAGCCATTTTTATGTTCCTATGAGTGGTTAGTTAGCTGTGTTTCTCACATACTGACATTTTCAAACCTCATCTGAATGGTGAAGAAAGGCAAATCCTACAAGTAGAAACATTGAGAGTTTTTGCACAAAGGAAGCAAGAAACATTTAACATTTCCGTGTCACATACTGAAAGACCGCATGAGTCACTTCATGGTTTATGCTGTGCTAATGTACAAAATCTTTGGAATGTCTTAGAATAAGGTTGGATTTGAGGTTCCTATAAGTCTGATTTAAGGTGAGATACAAATCTATTTATAATGGACAGTCATTTTAAATTTTCCTTCAGAAAGACCCATGCCAACAAAAGACTCCAGGGGAAATAAAGGAATCTAAATTGAAAACCTGAACATGCAGTTCTTCAGTTATACTACCCCTCACCTGTATCTTAAAAAGACTGGATGTTTTTGCACTGTGCTCTTGATATTCACACAGTGTCTCATTGTGTGGGCAGTATTGGATGACTCTTCTCCTATCGCAAGTTTAACCCAGCAAGTAGTCAATTGTTGCTTTCTGTATCCTGGAAACAGCAACTCCTACTGCAGATTTTAAGAAATGGCAGAGGAAAAAAACACACCTAGAGAGGCTCTGAACAGCGTTTGACTCGGAAAGGTTTTATTGAGCAGTGTTCCTTCCAGACTACTGAAACTCAGCAACAGACATTTCTCAAATGAGTGTCTTTTGTTTTTTATGGTTGGCATTGTTGCAGCTAGTGCATATCTTTGCATTTGCTTTCTGAGCTGCCAGACTCAAAAGGTATGAATCTGTAATTGTGTCTTGCCAGAACTGATGGAGTACAATTGGCTTGGGGTCCTTTTCATTAGTCTCGAAGAGGTTTCACGCAGATTAAACCTGCACAATGTATTAATTAGGTTATATTTTTAAAAATCATCTTTCTTACGTTTTGGCTGTTTAAAAAAAATAAATGCACTATTTTACTTGTATTCACTGGAAGCTGGAGCAAACATTCTTTTACAGTCATTCTTCCCAGTTAGGTAGGGTCTCCTTCTCAGGCCATAGGGATTGAACCCAGGACCTTCCAGTCAGGAGCTAGATGTCCTTGCTATCTGAGCTACCACAGTTCCCATCTCCACCACAAAACAAAACAAAAAGTTATCAATTTCCTTTGCCATATATAATAATTTACCATATTTTTTACCTGTTGTCTCTTATCCTTAAGACTGTTACTTCAGTACACTGGGAGCAGTGAGTGGAGCAATGGTTAGGATTCCAGGGTTCATCAACAATTGCCATCAAGAAAGTACCTCAACCTGATTATTTGTCCGCCAAGCTCTGCCCTGTACGTACAATCACCAGCTTGTAGCCCAAACTCTGCAAACCTCAGAAACTAAGCAAGGCTGAGTGTGGTGAGTACCAGAACGGGAGACCACTGAGAAGAACTGGGATGGTGATCCTGCAGGTAGTGACCTTCCCCCTAGACCTTGATTCTAAAAACCAGGGGCCTCAGAATTCATATTCAGTAATGTAGTGCTGTAAGAAGTGCTGTTATTTGGAAAAGATACTAAAGCAATGCCCTGACATAAACCGTTGGGGTGTTAACTCAGGGCTTGCACAATTTGACCTTCCTACAGTTTACCCTTAGTACCCCTTGATTCAAGTGGTGAAGCCAATTCTCACTCTGATCTGCTGTGCAGTGGCAGAACCTTCTACAGGAAGGTGCTGCACTTCAGTGATGGATGTACTGGGTCTCCTGCTATATGTTAAGTGTTCTGGGAGCCTTTGAGGTTAATGGTATTATACTGTGTGAATGCCCACCAACACGGCTGGGGGTTAACCTGCAATGGAGGACATACAGAAATTGGGAGAAGCTCCAGTCTTTTGAAAACCAACACCAGTGAAGGATTAACTGCAGGATATCAGCGTCTCACATCTGAGAGAACATTATTTAGCTAATGAGCTCCTACATATCAGAGCTGCTTCCTCCTCTCTCTTCTGTGCAATCACCTACTGTATATTGAAGGAGGTCTAATACAAAGTGACAGAATTCAAAAGTTAGCAGGGAACTGCTAGGCTAAAACAGTATTGCACATACAGTAACACACAAAAAAAACACCCTTCAGAGAAACTTAACTGAGATAAATGAGGTCACAGAGAAATGCAGTTGACAAAAAAATATTCCTTTTTAAATAAATTTCAAAGGTTTACTCCAGACATGGTGATCTACAGTGTCGATGAATCTATACTAACTCACAGCAGTACAATCAAGGGCCGATTCAAACATTTTAGGGGGAGAAGGCGCAATGGATATTTACCAAGCAGCCAGATACCACAAACTCAACGGGGGGCTATTCTTATATCTTGATGTTTTCCCATCTATTCCCCTTCTGTCATTAGTTTCCTTGTTGTACCCAGAGAAAAATAATAATGCTTGAAAATTGCTTTGAATAACATGTAATTGCAACACACGCTGTGGGCATTTTGTTTGTCTTCGGTGTTTGGTAATTATTGTAGAATTCCCCTCCCCTCCGTAATGGCTGGTTACTGACCATACAACACAAAGCAGCCCTCTGATGGTTCCCCAGTGCCGTCCAGCTGATTAATATAATTACACTAGCTGGATGAATACAACCTGATGAGCTAAATTTCCCTTCAGGGGGAGACCTGTGCTGTAAACTCAGTAGAAACTTGTTCAGCAGTGCTTTGAGATGCCAAAGTTGAGTAAAACTGCTTTGTTTCCATGCTGGGTCCTGTTGCACACCACCATCACAGATCACGTCTTGAACAGGGTAGAAGTGATTTTTTTTTAACCGAAAAGGTTCTGTATTCCTACCTCTGTTATTGTCTAGATTGTTCCATAATATTAACCCACATACTGTATATTATTAATGTACCAACCTAAATAACATGTATAGATACAGTACTGTTGAGGTAGCCTCTAACACAGAGACTGCATTCTCGATATTTCACTTCTTGGCTCTTCATATCTGTACTGGTTTGTCATCACACCTGCAGGAAACAGTTTAAAGAAGGCTGCACATTACACACTGCCAATTCCACGAGATCCATGAAACCTTGAAATACAATTTGCTGATAGAAATTATTCTGAATTTAGTCACCACTCCATAAGGTTAAAATGGGTGCAAATAGAAGTAAGTTCTGGGACCTTATTAACATGTAATCCAAAAACCAAAGGCTTATTTTAAATAGTTTTGTCACAGTTCTTAGGAGAAACTTCTAGCTTGTTAATTTTGTGTAAAACATACACATTAATCTCTGAATACCTGAGGTCCTGCAATGCTCTACTTACTGGGCTCGCTTTGTGCTGCATGTGCTGCATCAGCAATCTGCAAGTAGGAAAACAAACAGCTGCCAGAATTCTAATTTATACCAAGCCTCAAAAAGACATTACATCACCCCTGGCTTCTCTACAATGCCTACCAATTAAGTTTAATTTCCTAATCAAGACTTGATTATGGCCAGGAGAATCCTTAACACCATGAATATAACTTTTATCTAACCCACTGTATTCTAGTGTGGTAGCTTATATCCTCTGACTCTGGATGGGTTAAATAGATTTTCTCCACAGGAACAACCCTTCAGCTAAACCATATTTTTTACCTGTTGCTGTTAGGTAAACTCACTCTTTCCTTCTTAACTTGTCAACTTTCTTACAGGAAGGAGTTTATGTATAATTTTTGGCTTATGAGTGCATATGATTGTAAGGTTATGTTTTCTTTTGATCATTTTTACATCATGCTCTTACAATGATTCATTGCAAGGCTCTTTACAAAACAGCAACATTTTGACTAATCAGTTGAATAATGACTTTAAAGGACACATGGAAGAAATACACTTTTTTTAGAATTAGAATTTGGCGTTAGTGAGGACACTCCTGTGAGCTTGCTGGCCAGGCACCTCGACATTTGTTAGGTCCCAACAGATAAGATCTAAATTGGCATGTTCTGAGTTTCGAGTTTATTCCTCCGAGCGGAAGAGGACCCAAGAACTGTAATGTGAGCCCTAAAGGCAAGGGCAAGAGGAGAAAATGCTAAAAACCACTAGCATGGTATTTTTCTTCTCTGAGGATTGCCCTCGGGGTGACCCGAGGGCTGACAGGGAGAGTGTCACAGGGAGGGACTTGTTCTCTGTGTGAAAAGAAGAAGCTGTTTCGTCACAGATGTAAGATTTGTGTTAATTACGAACCCTGTGCGGGTCTCCAGGCGAGATCCGGTAGCTGAGGGATCCAAGGCAGGCAACAAGGTAGAGTAGTTGGTTATTCCAGGCGGAGTCATGTACAGGTAGTAGGCAAGAGGAGAGGCAAACAAATCCAATAGGGGCAAGACAAGAGAGAGAAATCCAAAACCAAAAAGTCAACAGTGAGGGAGTCCAGAAAAGGTACTAAGGAGGAAAGAGCAAGTTAAGCTCAGGAAACAGAAGAAATCCTAATACCACACAATGTTACAGGGTGAACTGAGTGTTTAAATAGTGAAGGAAGGGGTGTGTAAGGCAAATTGGATAATGAGGGGTAATTGAGACCAGCTGCAGTCGTGACAATAGTGTGTTCTCTTTTATTTCATTAGTGAGCTGTAAAATTTTGTAACTTGTTTTCAATTCTCAGTAGGATCCTCTCTTGTTGCTTACTCTTGGATCTTTCTTTGGCAAGCTTTCAAAATGTTTTATCATCGTTAAAGATCCCGACAGAGTATAATTGTTTACCCTGGTGTCCTAACTAAATTCCACTCGGGCTTGGATAACCTGGCTTTCTTAAATTTCACCCTTAATGCTATTGGTGAAACAATTTCTCACTGACCCGCTGTGTAGTGGGACTGCTGGCACATAATGGCAGAACTACGTGAGTGCTGCACTTCAGATGAATCTCCTTCTCTAGGTAAGGTGCTTTGAGATTTTCTGGGAAGAAATGAACTGTATTATTATGCAGAAATTAGTAACATCATGGATGGCTCCTGAAATGAAGCTTAAAACAGGAAATGATGTGGGGGAAGAATAGTGGTGCTGCACCATCATTTCGACATGTCCATTCCCTATGTGTGACAGTAATGATAAATCTTTACTGCACACGAACTGTAAGAAGGGAGAACATTAGAGTCACATAAGACAGTCTATAAACCACTAAATAAATACAAAATATGGATGTTATAGACTAAACTTTTGATTTTGCATGGCTTTCTATAGCCCTGCACACAAACAATTTTAAACAGAAATTAAATGACAATTTTGTTTTTAATTTCTATGCTCTGTAATAATTTCCATTTATACTGGAAGAAAGTAAAAGAATAAACAACAAGCCTTTGTTCAGTTTACAACAGCAATACTTTACCGGCCTAGTCTTTTGAAAACTATCTGGATGGTAGTGTCAGGAAGTTTGGCATGATTACTGTACAATGTGACATGGGTGCTTATTGCAAGCTGTGAGTTAGGTGAAGAACCAGCTGATTTGATGTCACATTCTGCCCTGACTATGTTCACTCTACTTAACATGATTTCCCCCGAGAAGTTTCAAACCATTTCCCTTCACTGTCACCCAAATACAACTTCTCCGGCCTTTAATTGGAATAGGTGGATAAATGATTCAGAAGGAATGCCTCCTCTACAACTCTGTCATCCGCAGCACAGCTTCTGAACTGTTGCCCTCTGTTGACATCCTACCTCTTGCAATTAGAAGTAACACACTATTATTTATTGGACGGCCCATTCCACACTTCTGGAAGGCTTCCAGCACTGGCAACTAAAAGCTTTAAAACAACTTTGTCCTTGATTATTTCTTGGAGGACCTTTGAGGAACAGTGTGGTGAGGGAGGAAATCCAATCCCAGATGTTGTCTCAGCAGTTTAGTTGGATGTGGGATTTTAAGAGCACTTGTAATAAGCAATTTCTGCTGGAAAACCACAAGGTCAAGACCAGCCTTCACCCCTGGGCTGCAGCATGTCTGAGGATGTAAGATTAATGAGACTTTTATGCAGACACCCGAGATAAGGAAAACCAGTCCAATTTCAAGGCATGAATGCCAGTGCAGCTTCTTAGTCTTCGTTGGAAAATAAGATGACTGAAGATCAGTACAGATAAGACTGTCAGAAGTGCCTTGTCCTGAAGGCCAGAGGTTTCTCTGCTGTATTTTGTCACACAGTTGCGCCAAGTGTTAATTGATTGACAAAGCTATAAAAAATAAGCACATACCTTTAACACATCAGGTGCATAACATGATGATCCTTCTTTTAAAGCTAAAACACAACAGAAATCCTGAAGACGTACGAACTGTAAAATGGCTAAAAATGTTCTACTGATATGAGGCCTCACACATAACCAGAGGGTAACACTCAAAATTATTTTTATAATGAAACTTCTCCCTTCCTGCAGCTCTCTGGGGAGAGTTTGTGATTAATAAAAGGAACCTTCTTTGCTTTTGCTTTCTACCCAGCACCCCTAAAGCCTGCTGGCAGAAAATATAATTGCATTCTTCAATAAAATATAGGGAATGTTTTGAAACTTAGTAACCTTCAATTACTCCAAAGTGCCATAAGAATTGGATGAGTTGTACTTCTCCTTTTCTTTGTGTGTAAATCTGTGCTACTATTAAATACAAGCCTCTCCCAACATATAGTATTAATGTGAGTGATGATAAATGCTTTTGGGTCACGTAGCAGTACTATTTACTGCATAATGTTAGACTTATAATGGGTGCTGCAACAAGATGTCCCCGATTTTGGCTTTGTTAAAAAATGGCACAATCATAAAATAACTGAAAGGAACACACACCCACACTCCATGAGATGCTGACCATTGGAACTGTACTCAATAATTAATGAAGTTGTCTGCTCTTTGCTCAATGTGTCTTGTGATTTAGTAAACCAACAGTTTGGCACAAAACATACAGCACTAATGGGAAATTAGCTGTCAGCAAGTCTTAAAATAAATGACTTTTATCTAGTCAATTAAACAAACAAATAATTCTGGGTACACCCCTTCTCAAAATGGGACAGAACTCCAGATTAAATGACAGACAGCCACATGGAAAAAGTGAATGATCAGTGGAGTCCTCCATTTATTACTAGAGTACGTTTTGTGCTTTGCTCAATGTGTCTTGTGATTTAGTAAATCAACAGTTTGGCACAAAACATACAGCACTAATGGGAAATTAGCTGTCAGCAAGTCTTAAAATAAATGACTTTTATCTAGTCAATTAAACAAACAAATAATTCTGGGTACACCCCTTCTCAAAATGGGACAGAACTCCAGATTAAATGACAGACAGCCACATGGAAAAAGTGAATGATCAGTGGAGTCCTCCATTTATTACTAGAGTACGTTTTGTGCTTACGGCTAGAAAACCTTAGTTTTGATCTTACTTTATCTTCTGTGGGTATATCCAGTTGGGTATCACGTAATCCTGTATAACACCGTGGCAGGAGTGTGGTTTGGTCGTCAGGGCTGTGGACGTGCAACTGGAAAGTTGTGGGTTTAAAACCTATATAGGGAAGTAGGAAGGTACTCTATCTCAATTGCTTCAGTGCTCTGCTGTGTAAATCGGTACAGATGCATGGATAAATGCCTCAGCCTAATAACGCTGTCAATGTCTCGTAGCTTGAAATTCCTAGACTGCCTGAGACATAAAAAAAATATTTGCGAAGAGCATACTCTTGAAGATGAGACTTAGGTCTCAGGTGACTGTCTGGGAAAATAAATGAATTTATTTACCCTATGTGTCTTATTCTCCTATGGGAGCAGCAGAGAGAGTAGACTCCCTACATTATGAAATGGATTTTCCTGAAAACATCAAGTTTCAGGAAAATGAAAGCTGCCATGGTGGTTATTATGCAGACATCTTGGCACTGCGTTTGTGGAGTATTTCTGACATATTTGCAATATGCCATGTGCAATATTTACTAGGAAAACTGAAAATTGCCAAACTACCTGAATTAAAAGTTCTTCGGAATGAATCTATGCATATCATTATGCAAGGTTTCACTGTAAAAAAATAAGGATTAGATTAGTTGTCAGATTAATTATTTCCCATGAGAAATACGTTTTTGTGGCCATATAAAATTATTAACTTTACATGTTTTAAGGCAGGAAACCTCCCATCTGATATGCTACAGTAGGTCTGATTTGGTACTGTTACAGTACACAGTAAGAAGTGAAAGATTTGTAATGTATTAAAGGAAAGAACCCTCAAGTGACATGACAGAGTCTTGGCCTGTTATGTCGGGTCTTCAGTTTCTCTTTCTTTTGTTCTTTGTGAAGGTCCACATCATTATGCTAATACGTCTCTCTTAGAGCCCTCGCTCATTTCCCAAAAGCATGTTTAAGTATTCAAATTTAGTCCAAGTCAGCCAAACTGTGTAAACACTTGAGCTGAGTATCCATGGATCATGCAGAAACAGGTCTTTGTAATCAGGTTCCCAGAGAGCATTAATAATTGCAATTTGAAGCTTGCTCAAGACTTTTCACACAAGCTTCCCTTCCTTGACTATAATTGCGCTATTTAATTCCTGTAGATTTTATGTTTAATAAAAACTGCTGAAATATTTGTCAGATGCTGTGAATCACGATCATATCTGCCAACTTCTTAAATTTTTCCTACATAAAATGGATTCACAGACTGTAACATTATATCAGTGAGGCAGTGAACACTGAAATGCACTGTATTCATTTTAAATGGATGCAGTATATTCACTTCATTTTTGTTCCCTTTGATTTGTTCCTAAATTAACTCACTACAGCAGGGTTTGGGGCATGCTGTTTCAGATTTTCTGATTTCTAATACCATAATACAAGGATGATACAGTAACTGAACATGTACAGATCTTGTGCAGTGATTCTTAACTAGTGTGCCTTCAGACATTAATGGGTCTTTTGGAAAAGTCTCAAACAAGAAAAAGTCAAATTAATTATTTATTTGTTTATAAATTAGTTAATAATTTTACCAATCATTCCCATCTATGAATGGGCTTCATCACTTTGCTCTCCTCCTCCTGTGATAGCTGGTGTATTGTGAGTTTTCTGGCGCACTGTGGCTGCATCATGGTTGGGGAGGGGAGTCCCCATTACCTGTAAAGCACTTTGAGTTCAGGAAAAAGCACTATAGAAGTGTAAGTAATACTACTACTCATAATAAAATAAATAAATGAAACTATTATTATTATCATCATCGTTATCATCTGACATCAATTCCTGCCAGAATGAGGTGACCGCACTGTGCACTCTGAGGCAAACACAGATCAACCATTGAAATAAGTTTTGTTCATACTATTGTACATCTCCCTTTCTTCTGTTCAGAGAGTGTTGGATGAGTGGAGAATGAAGAGACCAGAGAGAGCTCGGAGGGCATTGTCAAAGCAGTGACCAGGGACCAGCAGGTCGTCCAGATCGATGAGGCACCGCGTGGGAGAAACGGGCATCAGGACTCTCCATGGGTCGCATTACAGAGTCTGAGTGGGAGGGGTCTTAGTCAGCTCAAGTAGCCAGTGGAGGAGAAGCAGAGGGAGCCAGCCAGAAGGGCCACGAACTCATCTGTCCTGGCAATCTCGGTGTCAAAAGAGGCCAAAACAATGAATGTCACATCACGCGAATGAATGCTGACACTCCCGAAAAAGGCTCCGGGGCTGTTCAGTCTGTCCGCAGATCCGGCCCCTGGAGGTCCTCTTCCACACAGACCTGGTCCTGGGATGGCCGGGTGAGCGTTCTGCTTCTGTGGGTACCGGCAGCTTCTGCAAGGTTGAGCCTGGGGCCAGGGGGTTCTGCCTGTCAGGCAGGCCCTGGGGCCGCGGCTATGCAGTGGATAGACTCAGCCTTATGGAGCCACCCGACACCCCATCCAAGGGGGACGCTGGTTGCTGAGTCACAGTGTAAGCGTTATCCTGCCCGTGCTACAGAATAAATAACAATGTGCTTGTGCCAGTGGTGTGTGTGGGGAGGGGGGCAGAGTCCTGCAGAACTTCTGTTCCTGTGCTGTGAGATAAAGACTGACTTATAGGAAAAGAAAACAGGCAGATATATTTGAAAATGAAATGAAATGATGTTTGTGTAACATGCAGATAGAGAGGGCAATTCATTCAGGAGAAGGAGGATCCCAAACTCGAGGTTTATTTGGTGCAGCCACTTGTTAAATTCATTAGAGACTCTGTGATTGCTGACACTTTCAAAAATCTCTTCAAGACCTACAGTATCTTTTCAATGAGGCTTACAATGTATGATTTACATTTACCAGGTCAATTTGTTGGGCTTTTCCCTGCCTCTGTTGTGTATTTCACCGCACTTTGGGTTTTTGAAAAACGCTCATAAATAAAATTGTATTATTGATAACAGTAGAGGTTGTAATAAATGTTTGGAAAGTAAAATTGTCTATGTCCAGTATTTTGTCGTTCCTGTATAATCAGTGACGTGATTTCCTCCCTGAGAATTTGTGACATGTCCTCATACCGAACAAACAGGCAATTCATTACAGATAGTCGATGCTCAGATCTTCCAGTGCACACGATTTTCAAATCTCCCTCCTTCACTTTGGCATTCAGAAAATATAAACTCACAGATTCCTGAATAAAAGCACCTTCTGAAAAGGGTCATGTTAAAATTATCTAACAGCATTCAACAGACAAAAAAATATTTTTTTGATATTGTACTTCATATCCAGTCAATTTTAAACTTAATTCTCACATTGTCCTTTTAAAATATAAGAGAACTACTAACCTCCAGTATGTTATATACAGTATCTGCAAGTACCAGTAAAAATGTGTAGAACTTTCTTTACACGTCAATAGCGTAAAATTAAAATAAACCACAAATTAATTTTAAGTACTGTACCATGTATAAATCGGCTCTCATTTAAACCACCCAAACATTAGCATATGAAAATAAAAAAAAATAATAATTGTGGATGATTGTTGTGGTTACAATTTAGAGAGATCCTGAAAAGGCAGAAAAGGACACTCACACAGAATTTTAAGTGTTTACCAAAAACAAAGGTTGAATGGAGATAGTTATAATTATAGCTTATAATCAATCATATGCATTTACATTATGTAATAAACGAGTAAGAAGGAACAATTTGTGTTCAATGAATTACTAAAATGTGTTTCCTTTTGTATACCTGTCAGATTGATGTTTGTGAAAACAATGACAACTGCTTTAAAAAGACGTTTAGCCAGATGGCTCCTAACACCCAGGGCCATTTGCAACTGAAGACATTACGAAACCAAAAAAAATAGGCAGCATCACTAGCTTACAATATTCATGTTTGTTAGATACATACTAATCGGTAGAAGAACATCAAATTATATAACAAATAAGATACTGTAAAAAGGTTAATATTGTACTAGTTCGGATGATAGGATAATCTTTGATGCAGTCCTCAGAATATCCTATTTGCTTATTCAATGGTACTTCTGCAAGTAGATTAAAATATAACATAAAGACATCTAAAAATAACTTATGATGATTACAAATTCATTTAATACGGGACTAACTGAACATCACGTCTTTTGTTAGCAAAATGGGATAAGCGTACCACCTTTAGATACATTACACTGTATTTAATTTCTCAAATGTATTCTTTAAAAATCGCCTTATCAATAATTATAAACAATACAAGATCTACTTAAATTTGGAAATGCTTAACCATATGATTCTGTAAATAAATAACAACGGAAGACATTAAAATAAATGAAAAAATACACACTCCGTATGACTGCCCTTGATTAATCAAAAGTGATCCTCTTAAGTTTAAATAAAGATTTTTCAAACTACTAAACGCGTTTGACAAGGACCTTGGGTAACATAAACATTGCCTTACAGTTTTCGGTAGTTCAAAATCAAAATGTCGGTTTGTATTCTTCGTATTATGTTAGTTATTTATAGAACATTTTCTTAGCAAATAAAACTGTCCTCGGCAGTGTGAGCTCAAGCACTTATGGTGTTTATCTTGGATTTTTAAACAGGCAAAACTTTAAAAGCTTATTATGCCGTGAAGGACCTAATCCCTGCAAAATATGGCGGCGGCCAGATGGGTATGGTCTGCCCTCCGGATACCTGTGAGAGGTGAATAAAAACTTTTTTTTTCAATTAGTTTCTTTGCTTGGGGATTTTTTAACATTTTTGGGACAGATGAGATTTTTCTGAAATTATGGTATTATGAATACGGTTTGAGGAAAGGTTAATCTAATTAATCCACAATGGATACTTCCACCTTTATTAAATAAGGGCAACGAAGGTTTTACTTAGTTGGTTTTAGCTATTATAATAGCACTTCCTGAAATTATTTATCTGTATTTTGTTGTATTTTATTGTTCATGTAATGTAAGTGAGATTCCAGTTGTGCTGACCGTGTGAATGGATGATGTACAGTAAGCATTCTGACTCCTGTCAGAAAAGGTGACAGTGAAAATCGTGCTGTACTAGTAAGAACCTTTATTCCTTATGTGTTATCTCAAATGTGTTCAAAAGAAGGGAGAACATCATGAAATGTTCTCATAAAAAGCTCATTTATCCAACATTGTAGATGGTTTTTACTGATCAAAGGAAAACGTTTGAAATGTTATCCAAAACAAACAAGGTCACATATCTGAAAATACATTTTTCATCTCTAATTACTGACAGCACAGTATTATTTAGTTATTTTAAGGTCTTCGTAATATGTTGTTGAATTTAATGTTTTTAAATGTTTGGACAGTGAATTCTGATTTCATAGCATTTATTTACTCTATTAAGCTGTACCATTGATATTTTTTTAAAAAATGTAAGTGAATTTATCAGGACAAGAGAGTTATGCGTGTGTGCTGAATAAAAGGTTACTTTCTCGTTTAGAACCTAAATTAAAATTACTAGAAACCACAAATTATTTTTTTCCATTTTCTTAAAATCACCCAGTATTTAAGATTCTTATTATATTTGTGTAGTTTATAAGCTTACATCAGGAAAGTGCATGTAAAACACAGTTAGTTTCAGAAGTGTAACTTAACTACTCCTTGGAAAGGAACAGGTAATAGGTTTATTCCATTCTGAAAAGAGAAGAAAGGAAGCACAACGTTTCGGCCGTGGAGCCTTCGTCAGGTGTGAGGACCTTCACGGCTAGTATGAAGGGCGCATTATTGTATTCCACAAATTTGATTTTTGGGAGGGACCGAAAGTGCTACAATGAATGCTGTGAGGTGATTTGACTCTGAGCTGCTGTGTAACGCTTTGTCAGTCTGAGCAGGGAGATATTGTGAGATTACTCTGCTTCTCGTCTTTTCACCAGGGTCTATCCATTGAGCACAACTTTCCTAAAATTGTTTATTTCATTATTATCTGGTGATTTATATAATATATAATTGCGACTCTGATGGCCAGTCTGTCTTGAGGCAAGGTTCCAGATCTCATTACCAGAGTTCGTGGTTTATTACTTGCATATTTGACACTTCAATGAGAATGGGCATTTTTCAGAGGCTGCCAGGAAACTCTCCTGTTTTAGCTCTTGGCATTCAGTGATATGAAGAAATAAAAATCATGTCTTACCTGTTTATTAGTGTTATGGATTTTCAGTCTAGTTTATCTCAAAATCATAATTGTTTATGCTCTAGTCTTTTTTTTCAGTCTTTACCAGCAAGATGTTCCATTCATCACATTAATGGTTAGTCCCTACTTCAGCATTTTTAAAGGGTAAAATAATAAGCAAGCCATGTGTCAGATCATTTATGCTAACTTAAGAGTCATCGCTTTTAGAAAGTTTGGAGTATATTTTACAGAGCATAACAATACTTTACATGTTTTTCCTCATTAATTTAATTTTTAAAGTAGCAGAAATGCTTTCCCATTTTTTATTCTTTATTTTACTTAATTTTTTTAAATGTAAGGTATGACTACCATATATATGTAAAATATTTGCATGGATTTTTAAACGTTGTCATACCATGGCTGTTGGAGCTGCAGGCTGGCCAGCCACACAAGAAATAAGCATTAGTACTGATTTCATATTCTGCATACTGCTTGAATCTGGACACAACCCAAAGGTCTTCAGTTCTGTGTCTTGTAAAACATCATTTGTGTGAAGAGAAGCATGTATTCGTTTCTCTGTTGTGGGTTTTGAAAGAACAGAATGTAAAGGAGTTACAGTATGTTCCTAAGATAGCTGTTTTATTTATTTTTGATAATTATTTAAATACACTCTTACTGAATGATTTCCAGTAAGGTATTATACATGCTGGATAGCAGACAGCTTAAGATAGGATCCCAACAGAGCGCCTACCTGAAACATCAACTTTCCCAATAATCCGTTAAAAAAACAAAGAGAAAGGTGAAATCAATGGACGGGGTAGGGCAGACAAAGCCTCTACCAGTGTGTCAGGTAGGCAGAAAGCAGTAATAGTATTTAGAATGCAGCTGAATGTAAGAAGAAACAGAACATTAGTTCTGACTGCAGACAACAGGTTCTGAAAAATAAGTTCAATAAGAAGATGATTTTAGCTTCCACCTTTAATGCCAAAGCAGCAAGTTGCTGATACATTTATTGCAATCGCTGCCTCTGCATTTAGTAGGCACTGCAATCCCAGGTATGGAGAGAGATCAGTTTGACACATAGCCCATGGCTAATACCATGGGGGTATTAGCACTGGTTCCCTACCTCTGATCCTCTGGCCCCTGGCAATCTGTGAGGCTACTACAGGGGGTGTACTGGAAACAAAGATGTGTTGTGGGGTCAGATATATGGCTAAAACTGTCATTGCTCCACTGACATACTGTCATTTAACTCTTCCAAACAGCACCTACCATCCCATTAAAATGTTACTCAGTACACAGCCTTTCACACTTTGCAAATACATTTGTAGAGAAAATGACTATGGATTTTAGGTGTTTATTAGGTGATATTAGGTGTTTACATTATTAGTGTTTATAGAGCAGATCATGCCCTTCTTTTAATTTATAACAGTGTTAAAAATAAGTAACATCTGAAATGTTTTAAAATTGAAAAGGGGCCTACACACTGATATGTTGACACATACCATTAAAAAGCACTATATAAGGAGAAACTTTTTTTCCTGTTTGCTTTTATTCTTAGAAACAAAATGTCTAGAAAATATAAAGAATCACAGACGTATTTCTGACTACACATTTAAAATGGCCCATGAGGCTAAATCTTTTTGTAATTTGCAAAGCTTTACAATTAGCTTGGCAGAAAATATGTCATGAACGTGATGCAGTGTGACGAAAAGTTAGCAGATCTGTGTAATAATGTAAAAGGATCATACAATATCTGTAGTAATTGCTAACGTATGCATTGCATTTTAGGGGGTATCCTGGTCCCAACACAGGCTTGTACTAGTGCTGTACAAACCACCTGGGCCGTCTCTTCAACCACTGCCAGCGTCTCCGTGCAGCAGTACAGATTCAGCAGTTTCTTCAACAAATGTAAGTTTCCTCTCATTACAACTAATTAACAAATTCTCTTCTGAACACAGCTTTCAGATTACCATCAGGCACGCTCCAGTTAGCCAGGAGTGAGTTAATAAAATGCATTTGTTTCAGTTTGATGAAGACGGCAGACCAGTATTCAGGGTTTCGAAATCTGACATTTTGGAAGGTTGCGAGGTGCATGTGACATTTGAATATTAAAGGGTATATACCTCAATCAAGTAGAATTTGTTCAAATTACATAGGTTTCCAAAGTGTTCAGAAGCAACAGACCGTGGAGTGTAATAAATTGAATGTAAAATAATCAAAGTAATGTCAAAGCTTTTTAAAAATCTGTTATGACGCGTTTAGTCACCACTTCAATTTTGTATGTGTAAATGTCCATGTTGAAAAAGATGAGCTGTTCTTTTGTTCAATTTAAACTTGTTTCGTACTGATATAGTGAAAGTGGTCTTTTGTTTGCCTTACTCTTGTTGTTATGTCTTTAGATCATTAAGTGTAATTTTTTGCAGAGATATTATGAATTAGCTAAACAAAAGCTGGTAGAATACTGGATAGTTCTCAGAGCATACGTACTCGAAAGGTTGAACCCAGACTAACATGGTCAGCTGTAAATCAGGGATAAACATTATGGATTCATTATGTCCTTTTGTATCAATATGTGACCAACCGAAGTAATCACATTCTGGTTTTTATCAAGCACCAATGGTAAAGATCATCATCAGCAACAGTAACTATAATTGTGGCAGTGATTCTCTGTGTGAAGAACAAGTGGGGGGGGGGGAGGTCTTATTTATATATGGCAAACTGGATGCTACATAATAACATGAGGAGAACAATGTTCATATTAGTGTTCTAGAAATAATGAATCCTGCCTTAATAGATGCATGTGAGTTAATATCACCTTAGGCCACGGCTGCATTTGGTCAATCTTCAGTTTGGTCTGGGTTAAAACATGCTGTAATGTTCATTTCATTTGAAATTAATAAGTGGGATTTTAGCAGTCAACACCATTTTACCTAATATGTTGCAGAAAGAAGAGAATCTGCAGTAAGTGGATGTAATAAGCTTGTAGTAAATAGGAAGATTTTGTGACTGAGGCTGTAAGTACGTTTTTAATCGGAATCTCTCAAATTTAGATCACTAAACAGTGTTCTTTATTTTTTAACTGTACAGCACCCATAACAAATTTCAAGGTTTTGTTGATATTTTATTCTCTTTTTATAAAAGAAACATGTTGCAGAAACGTGATAAGTAAGGATTGTGTCTGGTAAATATCATAATTGTACATTTTGAGATGTACAGTATGTAACTGTTTTATACTCATACTGTGGGGCAACGTTTCTTTGTGAAGATTAGGCTTTTAATGGATTAGAATGCTAGATATTTTCAGCTTTCTTTTACTCTTCATTTTTTACTCTCTTGACAGCAAATTTAAAAAAAGACATTAAGTAATGCTTATTTTCCTTACAGATTTGTTAGGAATAACCATTGATTCCTTACACATTTTACTTAAGTTACACTGAACGATGTTCGTTTAAGATGCATCTTGAATCCATCTGCAGCTTTGCTTTTCTGACATAAGAATGAATCAGGGGGCGTTGCTTCTGATTTTCTGCAACATTAATTCTGCACGCTGGCAGAGGATGCAGAATGAAATTACTGTCAGATATATAACCCGCTGGGTACATTCAGCAAATAACGCAAGGACAGAATTCACGATGTCCAAGAAACATGCCTGCCTATTAATAGGTTTTTATCAACTGGATTTTCCCACTGTATTTTATATACAGTAGAACAATTTTAAAACACGTTGACATAAAAGGGTTTGTTTTCTACTGAGGCAGCTTTTCTTTTGTCAAAATGGCGTGAAGCAGACCACTCTAATAGTTATCAGCCTTACGTGCTTCAAGGAAAACTCTGAAAGCTATAGTGGTTATGAAAGACAGCTGCTACTCTTAGTAAAAATCCTAGTTATCGCCTAACATGCTTTAGTACTGTCTTGAATAAAAAGATCTAAGGAAAACATTTTAAAGCTTTAAAAAATGGTCAAAAGATGAAGGCAGTTTTCAATACTGCAACTGTCTGGCATGTATGAGATATAAATCCACAAGGGCGGGCAGAGGCCGAGCTCTGTGATCATGGGTTCAAGCCTGGTTCTTGCCACTTGCTGGTTTTGACTGAGATTCCCCAAGCAGATGCGCATAGCTGGCAGAGCACCACGGAGGATAGGGTGGGAATTGTCAGCCAAAGCTCTTTTCGACTCTCAGTGACACGGTGTCCCCTGCGGCCTCCTCTAAAAATATAAAAAGGATGGAACTTCTGTCCGAATAATATCCTTATGAAAATGACTTGGCTAAAGTACAGCTTGCAGGAGAGGAGCAGACCAAGGTATTGCTGTTTAATAAATCTTATTTTGCAATTACCTAGGGTACTATTATGGAAACATTAAGCACAGATTTCAGATTTATCTCTCCTAAATAGAATTTCCTTGTAAATGAGAATCACATTTTGGAGGTTCCTCGGTTGTGGTTTTTTTTTTGCTTATGTGTAATGCCTCATTTGTTAAAGGCACACAAACAAACAAGCCTGATTAGAACTGGCAGCCACATCAATTAAGAAATAGAGAGCAAAGATATTATAAACACTCAATTCCCTTGTGGCTTTTGAGAACCATTCACAGCTCCGTCATGCTGATCAGTTTAACCAGTCATGGCCAACCCCAGACTTAATGGTTTGTGCAATCTGTATTTCACCCAAGACAAGCTCAATATCGTATTTTATCTCCCGATAATTTTAGTCTAACATCAGCTTTTGTGCTTTATTTTAATTTAGAGGTTCATTAACTCTTGACTTGGGAGGTTTTCAGCTTTCTAAATGTATATTAAGTAAATTGTTAAACTATAAACTTTTCTGCAATCTGTTTGAGAAAAAGAACACTTCAGTTATTGACTTGGGGAAACAAAAAAAAATGAAGTAGCTACAAGTTCGACATAATTACTGCTCATAAATTGAAAAAAACAATCAACACTAGTTGAACTAGTTTGATTTATCCAGTCTAGTGGCAGATGTAAGCGATAAGCAAGTGTTTAGGATCCGAGTTTATGGAGTGTCAACATTGTGTTTCAGAAGCAAGATGGGGGTGCATTTCCAATTTATAGTTGATTAAAAGTTCTGTGTTTTGTGATTTCCTTCTTTCTGTGGGCGGAGCGGTGGCTCTGTGGCTCAGGATCTGCGCCTGTGGCTGGAAGGTTGCCGGTTCAAATCCCGCAGCTGGCAGAGGAATCCTACTCCGATGAGCTCCTGAACAAGGCCCTTAACCTCAGCTGCTCCAGGGGCACCGTTCAATGGCTGACCCTGCGCTCTGATCCTCAGCTTCTCTCCCTGTGTGTCTCATGGAGAGCAAGCTAGGGTATGCGAAAAGATAATTCCTAATGCAAGAAATTGTAAAGGGTTAATAAAGTGATGTTATTATTATTATTATTATTATTTCCCCCCTGAGTAGGTCCTACCGAAGAATTATAGCAATCATGCACAGCCCTATTGTGTAAATATGACCTCTAAAGATATCGACCATGCACTTCATGGCCTGCCCATTGCACGGGTCAATGCATGCAGGTGCAGATGGGTTTTGTGCTAATGGGTGGCTTGTGTATGGAGAGTCATGCCTTGGATTAAAGCTGAAAATGTGTTGAACCCAGCAACAGCTCAGAAGCCTTTCAAGAGCTGCAATTACCTGTTTGTCTGATCGGGTGAGAGTTATAAGATTCTCGCCTGACTCTGCATGCGGCGTGCTATATCCACCACATTGACAGGGTATTCATTTTCAAAGCTGATGATCTTTAAGTGTTTGCAGCATGCCACAGCTCACCCAGCACTGCTAATGCTCTTGTGGGGCTCTAAGGGTATTCTGAACTAGGTACACACACACATATCCTCCTTTTACATAGGAGTGTCCAGTTCACAGAGATTAATCTAATGGAAATAGGTTATTCATGCTCAGAATGCATTCTGGGTTTGTATTTTTTATCCTAGATATTAAGACCTGATTGATGTTGTCACCCTGTGATAATGGCCCCTGAGGCAATTGTTTTGCCTGGAGCTGCTTTTGAATGAAAGGCTAATTCATTCTTTTTATCCTGCTGTTTTAGCAGCCTTGGATTTCCCTAGCTGCCCTCAATTAATTAAAATCACAGGCATATGGTGTGGGGTTTTTTCATTCCTGCCTTGCTAACTATCAACATAATTGCCTCGGACCCTTCTCTGCCCCACTTAATGGATGGATTCCATTGTGTAGCTAATGGATCGGATTAGTCGGACAAGACAAGATGAGGCAAATTCATTCGTGTTCTGCGACACGCGGTAACGAATTTGTTAATTACACAACACATCAGTTTGATTATTTAAAATAGCCGTGAATTTGGTTGCCCTGTTCGGATGCACACATCAGTCTCATCATAGTTGTACCAGGTGCGCCCGCCTCCCTGTCTGTTGACCTCTCCATCTGCGCACTTGGTCTCTCCGTTTGTTTCTCTACCTCTTCCTCAAACAGCTACAACTAAAATGTTCCTAAAAATTGCAAACAACATGCAGCTCAGCCTGAGTGATCTGCTACCTGAGTGACTTGGCTTGCAGTAGCGTAATGAATAAAACTGTCACATTGCATCACATTTCCTGAGCTTTGACATTTGCTCAAGAATGTATGTGAATCAGATTTTATAGCATTGTAATTTTTGTAGTGGGAAATCGGTTCCACACAGGCACAGCAGACCTGTTATTTGGGAGTGGGTGTCTCTGTATCTAAATGATATACTTTACTCAGTCCCAAGTTACTGAGTTTTAAAAACGTTTTGCTTTCTTATTTGCTGGGAACACAGTTAACAGGAGGAGTGCATTGAGAGCAGTTTGCCTCTGTACGGAATTTGCGTTTTTTTCCCAGTTTGGAATCTTGATACTATTACAGATCTTTTTCAAAATCAGCAGCAGTATTGTCTTCAGGGTAGGGTTTCCTTTAGCATGTATCTCTAAAAGTAAGACAGGAACACTGTGAGTTAAAGTCTCTGGTTATTATTTTGAGAATTTGCTCTGAAACTTCCGAGTACATTTACATCGATGTCAATTCGGTTTCCTGGTGAAACGTTGATCTCCTTACTGTCAATAAAAAAGCACAAGGTCTTTGTTTTTGAAAGATATTTTGTCCATAACACAACATTCTCCAATGTTACTGGCTTGTGACCTTTGGAGTCCTGAACTGAGTTTCTCAGTTTACATCTCAGAAATGTAAAGTCTGACCATTAAGACTGCAGCCAGCTGGTATAGCTCATTAAACGCTGTGCTGGAATGAAAACCTGCAGAGACACCGGCCCTGTGGTGCAAGGGCTGGGCACCCCAGCCCTGTACTGTGCCGCGAGAGGCTGGTTGCTGATCGGAAATCCCCACCAGTGTGTTTTTGAGTGTGGATTCATCAAGGGAGGCTCTTCGTCAGGAAAGGAGAGCTTTCAAGGTCAGAATAATTAGTTTGATTTTGTCTCTTTGCTCAACGCAGTGACGGCTACTGAGTTATGGAGGGGGGTGCTGGCAGAGAGCGGGCCAGGGGCACGGAAGGGAAGGGGGAAGAGAACTAAGCGAAAGCTGAAGAAAGACCTCAACAGAGGGCAGAGTGTCGGAGAAGGTAAGCTTTTCTTTTGCTTTTCTTTTCCCCTCTTGAACCTCTTCCCTCCTACAATTTTTCCCAACATGTGAGAGAAGATTTCTCCCCAGTAACACTACCCCTTGGCAGCAATCAGAAATGGCCTCAGCCCAACCTACCTTTGTCAGAAAACTAAAAGGGAGGAAACTGGGATGAGGTTTGAGCTGGCTGTGTTCATCCGTAATGGAACGAAATGTCGAGGAATTTGATGTTGTGCAGCTTTTGAAAATGGGTTTAATCTTCTCAGCACTCTGTGCTTCAAGCCTAGCAGCTCCCTTTGGCCTGGCATTATAAAGACACTGCTCTCCTGACCTCTGTTTGTCTGGCTAAACTTTTTTCTTGAAAGTACAAAAAGGCTCTGTCTGATGTCAGGTTTGGCTCTTAAATGTTTTACTTCCCTTCTGGTGCTCAGCACTCTCCACAAAGTTAACTAGAAGGATCTTTTTCCAGCCCTTTACTTTTCATTATGGTGCAGTTCACTGAAATATTGTTTGTACATCCCCACCGTGGCTTGGAAATGGAATGTTTTCAGAGTGAGTCAAACATTTGAGATAAGTGGCTAGCAATAAGCTATAAGGAGAGTTACACCCTTTACCCTGATCTGCTGGTTTGGCAACCTGAATCTGAGAGGCAAGGACAAACTGGGCAGTCTTGTAAAAATATGTCAGGAGGTCATGGGTGCTGACCTTCCAGCCCTCTCCTCCGTCTATCACTCACGTGTTTTGCATCATGCAAAATCCACCTGCGATGATCCTTCACACCCTTTGTGTAATCATTTCCAGTTACTCCCATCAGAACGCAGAAACCGACTCCCCAACTTCAAAACCAATATATTTAAGTTTTCATTCAGACCTGTAGCCATATCGTTACCTAACACTTGCTTTTCTATGCAAATATGTACACGTGTTGTTCTTGAGGTTTTTTTCTGTCCTTCTGTACACCCATACTCCTGCCGTAAAACAAATTGATTGCCCCCTCAGGGATAATAAAGACTGTCTCTTTCCCTTAACGGGACACCAGTCCATTGCAGGCCACACACCGACACAAACGTGCACGCACTCACCCCAGAGCCTTTTTTCCCCAGAAGCCAATTAACCTACCAACATGTTTGGATTTAAACCCCAGGCAGATAGCACCCAAGCTCCAGAATTAAACCCAGGGCTCCAGCACTGTGAGGCAGCAGTACTAACTACTGCAGTACTGTGTCCCCCTTGTATCTTGTATGTGGAGTTTAAATGGTGTCCTTGCACTTGTCTGAGTTTTCTCTCTGTGTCGGTTTCCTCTGACCTTATAAAGACACGCTGGCTAGGTTAATTGGTGTCTCTATGTGCATGAGTGAGTAAACATGCTGCAAGGGACTGGTGTCCCTTCCCGGTTATGGTGCAGCGTATGCCTTAAACCTCTGGGGTTGGCTCTGGTTTGCTTTTACCCTTAACGGGGGTATTTCTAATGGTGGGTGAATGGAATTTTACAAATGACTTCTTGATGCAGTTAAATAAGTATTTTTTCTTCTTTTAGAATTAGATTCTGGTTTATAACCAGTAGGTGGTCTCAGTGCCCTGACAGGAATTGTGATCCCTTGCCAACTTTAGTGAGAATTCAAAGAGTTTATTATGTTCATCCATAATGCAGATCTCTTTCAATTATTAACTGCCTGTCCGAGTTATGCCGAAATGAAGCCAGTGGGAATTGAAATAAAGTGTTTAGTGGAAGTGATGGCCTGCAGACAGTTTTGTTCATTGCAGACAAAGAATATTAATATCCATTATATGTAAGTATGTGCCAAACATCCACACATTGACTTGTGGCAGATGTGCCTTGTTTGGTGGATAGCAAATTATCTAAGATACAAAGATATTTGATTAAAGACTTCTGTTCATGTTAATCTCTGATTAACCTATAAGGTTGGTTTTCCCTGCTCTGTTTTATCATTTTTTCTCACCCCAAAAGTCTGATGATGTCTTGTTTTGTGTGCACGTACCTTATTGTTTGCAACTGCGATGAGCCTGTTGTGTGGGGGCTTGCTGCCTGTTGCAGTACAACTGCTTTTTGATTTTCATGTGTCTCCATCCCCTTGAATCATGTCCCGTTTTTTTGCCTTGTCCTTTTACAGATCACATTTTACCGTTTATTATAACAAAAGCGTTTCTTCCAGACACAGATGGAAGGCGAAGCTGTCGTTGTTTATTTCCTCAGAAATGGGAAAAATGTAATTGCGCACTCGGAAAGGGAAAGGTGAGCCAGCACAAGGGAAAAAAGCTTTTGTTAAAAGGGTGAAGTAACTTTATGGGATTCTCCAGTGCCTTTAGTGTTAAGCACACTGGAGTGAACCCAGTTCAGGTCTACTTCTGGCATGTGCTGGTTACTCCAGCTTGATAAACATGATCAAGGTGTATTGTCCCAGCCTGTAGGAGGCCTTTCAGTAGTAGGTCCATTTTCTACCAGACTGGCTCCGTCGCAAAAGCACCCCAGCAAAACGAGTGCAGTCTATTTACAGTGCTCCCAGTCCCCCCACACCAGAAAACAAGACCTCTGTCACACAGTACTCCGCTTTTCCTCCATCAGCTTTGAGCTCCTCCAATCCAGCTGATTTTTTTTTCTTCTCTCCAGGACGAGGAGGCTACCTCTGGCCCGGCCTGAACTCGCCTGTGCTGAGAAGTGGTACCATCCAGTCCATCTCCCAGAGGGACCAGGCCCAGCAGGAGGAGCTGCAGGCGGACATTGTCCGCCAGAGAGACGAGTGGGACAGGAAGAGGAGGACGAAGGTGAAGAGGGATCGGGGATGGACCGGGAATTCCTGGGGGGGGATCAGCCTCGGATCGCCAGATCCTGGGCCGTACGGAGGTAAGAGCTTTGCCCTCGCTTCTTAACCTCTCTTAGAGATAAGCAGCTTTAAACTGCCTTTAAAGGTGAACAGAAAGAAGCTTGTCGACTTGGCCTCACACGTTTTTTTCCCCATTAGTTGCAATCTAGGAGGGTTGACTGTTGCTAAAAAATATAAATATCTGAATGCATATTTCTTTACAGCAGGGGTATTTATCTGCAAGGGAAATACTTTGAAATATACCTTATAGTTAGTAGTTTCACTAAAGGAAAAGGCATACAGTTCTAGTGCAGCTGAGCACCGTAGTAAACCAGAACGATTGATATGTGATAATTTTTGTGTTTCCAGCAGAAATGCAGCTGGAGGGCAATACATTATTTATTACTTCTATGACTTTCATTACAGGATTTCATAAGATTACTGTAATTTTAGATTCTAGTCTTAAATCTCTGGTTGACTCGAGAGATGCCGAATTGATGAGTTCTCACCTTCTTCTCCCCGAAGATGACAAGGCCGCAGTGTGCCACCTTGTTCTTCACACTGTTCTTCTTCAGGGCACCGAACCTGCTCTGTACCTTTTGTCAAAGATGAAAACGAATAGTGACATTTATAGGCCACGCCGCGGTGTGGAGTAGCCTGTGGAAGGGTCTCTGATAAGACTGTGTCTTTCTCCGAGTCCAATCTGATGAAATCGGGCAGCAGGGAGTGGCAATTCACCTGACAAAAGAATAACTGTTTCACACCATATTTCCACCTAATTTGCGTGTACTTAGAATGCGCTGTGATTAATGCGGTTCAGCAAGTCAATTCTGATTGCTCCTTCAAGGCTGTGGCTGGGCTTGATCGTGATGGCTATATTCACTGTGATTCACCCTCCTCAAAATAGACCTCAGGAAGCCAAATCCTAGGAGAGTTGTACCGTCTAAATAAAATAAAACCACTCCAAGGGGAGCTCCAATTTCTTTCTCTGCACAATTCCTATTAGGAGTGCAGCAGCAATCATTTATGAAGGACCTGTGCACAATCGCCTGTACTGCTTTTTGAGTGTGAGCTGCTGGAGGCTAGTCAGCAAGCACCACTGCTTGCAGAACTTTAAACACCACCTTCTAGCCTGACCTGGTCAGATGTCAGGAACTATAAGCAAGGCTGGATCTGGTCTGTAATGGGAGGGGAGACCTGCATGGAAAACCAAGTTGCTGTTGCAAGTGGTGCTGGTGGACCAGTAGGTGGTGCTCTGCCCCAGGCATCTGTATGATGTCTAGGGGCACAGTATTGTGGGAGATGCTGACCTTAACCTAAGCTTGACATTAAACCAAGCTCTTGACTATGTGGCCATTAGAATCCCATGGCATTGTTGAAAAGTATTGGTGGTGTTAATGCCAGTGTTCCACCTAAATTCCACTCTGATTTTCTACAATGTGCCCTGCCTAAAGTTCTTATTAGCTCAACTGGTGCACTTTTTTTTCCTTCTCTATGTGATCTGCTGTGCAGTGAGGGCTGCCCAGTATTACCCAGATGGCTATTGCACTTAAATGTTAGAAGTGCACTCCTTCTTGTATGTAATGGGTATTCTTTGAGGTGAAAAGTACCATATAAATGTAATTCACTCAAGTGTAAAAATAATCATCAAATGTTTTATTGTGTAACTCCTTAGGTGTTAAATGTAGTCGGTTGTGAATTAACTGGTCTCTGATACACAATAGTAGTGTGTTTGCAAAGCAATACAGAAATGCTGTACAATGTAAAAGGCATAGGTTTGTTTGCTTCTGTGTAGTGAGGGATGGTCTTTAATTTCTTGGAAGTGTTTGAAAATTGATTTTGCATTAGTGTCAGTACTCTCTTTCCCCATGATGAGATTTGCCTTGAAAATGTGTGTCACTGTAAGAAGGCTTTTAGTAGTAATCCTTACATTAATAGAAAACATTTCTTTTCCAAATTTATTTTGGGCTTTGTAAAAAAACACAACAGAACTGTGTGATTTAAGATTAAATGTTTTTACTATCTGATTATCAAAACCTTCAGCTTCTGGCAGAAAGACAAAAAAACACTTGTGATTTTTTTCCCTCTATATTTCTCTATATTTAATACCTTATCTCAATCTGAACAAGATTGAATAACTCCCTATTCTTTTTGGAGACAGTAAAAGGCTAAAACATGGGCAGTTTGTGTTATCCACAATTGCTCATTTCTTTGTAACATATCCTTTTAGTATTGTAAAAACAAAATCTGTCCATGAAAATCAGATTGCAATGTCTTTCTTTGAAAGGGCGAATGTTACCTGAAGCAAGCAGCTTGCCAGGGAAATCATTAAGCTACGAAAAACCTAAACAAACATGACACTTGGCCAGTATGTCAGCATTTTTGAGCTCTCTCCCTGTGAAAGCTAACTTTCTATGAATACCCTTGACTTTTCATCTCTCATTATCAATTAAACCCATTACCAAATTAAAATCCTCACAGCACGCCTTTAATAATCAACTGTTTTTTTTTTTACTTTCTACCTCCTTAACTGCTAGGTATAAATTCATTTAGTACTTGGTATTCTAATCATTTCACAAATCTGTTTCATTTCATTGCCGGATTGGGGTACTAGCTGCAGTAACCCTGCTGTGAGTCACTTGTCTGACCTCCGAGCTGGACAGAGTTTGACTGAGATGTTGAATCTATGGAAGATGGCTTTTAGGTGCAAAATTATGGCTAGCCGTCATGTTCCCGTGAAGACAAAAAAAAAGTTCTGAATTCAAATGGTAACAGTTTGATTACTTTTTTGCAAAGGGACAATACAGCAACATCATTGATAAACCTTCTCTTTTGTCGATGAGGTTGCTGTCTAGAATGCAGGAGGCATATTGATGAACCTTCCAATATGTATTGTTGTATGAAACAAAATGAGTAGGTAGGGCATTGTGGGAGTCACCATACAAATAAATTGAGAAGAACATCCACCGTAAAAGACATTTTAGAGTTGTACTTCTGAAACTCTGCTCAAGTGTTAAGATTTATGCTTGGTGCTCAGACATATGATCTTCAGTCAAAATCACTTGTCACTTTATCTTTTTACAAAACACTTGCCTAATAAACTTACATGTTTATTACATGCATATGCATATAACTTACATGCATATTGGTGTGTTTGGTTTTATATTAAGAAGGTGGAGAATTTAGCCTCCACGTAGGATGTTTCGAGTTCTTTCAGTGGAATGGCAGAGATGATGGAAATTGGCAGTGATGCAACACATTAAGTATTGAAAACATTCTCTGTTCTGTCAGTAAGAAGTGTGTGTCTGTCTAGCCTCCTTGTATGTGTAACTCTATGCTGGGCTCGGATTTGGTTCCTAAGCTGTCTGTAGCCTCATGATTGCACGTGTACAGATTGGCTTCAGCTCAGAGTGGACCAGGTGTGCAGTAGAACAAGGAGCGGTTAATGTTGGAAGTTAGATGAAAATCTGCATTTTGCCTGAAGAAAGCGTTCCTTTGCAGTCAGCTCACAGGGACACACCTCCCATCTTCAGCAGCTGGGCGATGGCCACTTACTCCAATGCCTGAAAGCACCGAAGTTTCGGGAGTTGAAAAGGCCAGTCTCCTTGTGTCAAACCTTAACAAGAAGTGACATTTTTGTATGCAAGATGAAAAAGAGAACTTAAATCAATAGTGCATTGCATCAAACGTTTTTTAAAGTGAAATGGTCTATGATTACATTGCGTAATTCTGATATTTTGGAAGGCCATGGTCAATTTAGTAAAAAATAAGTTGAGTTATTCAACTTGTGGTATAATGTTAAAGTTAAAATGTGCACACTTCCATCTTGACAAATTAGTTTCTGAAATGATTAGAACTGTTGTTATGGTACAGCACCTCTCTGTCCTTTTTCTTCCATACGGACTCAAATCTGATAACAATTGATGGATTTTTTGATTCACAGTCTTTTTTGAGACTGAAACCTGTTTTAAAACACCTCTGAGTGGAAATTTACACACACCTTAATGTTTTCTGATACTCCACTAGATATAATGCATTTTGGATGACTAGGCTTCTGTCATTAAATTCTGTCAAATGGCAGCGGAGCTGTAGCAGTGATAAATTGTGGAATTGTAGAATTGTAGAAGTTGAATCTAAACACAAATACTCCAAGCACCTGTCAGTTTCCCCTAGTTAATCTCCAGTTACAGGTCACGGTGGTGGAGCTTCATTTAAAAATGAGAAAATGTTGGGTCACTTTCCTTCAAATTAAATTAGATTTTGTGCTGTTACCACCAATTAAATTGACTGCTGTATGTAGAACTACTGCCTTGCACCACTATTTGAGTGGCAATAAATGACTTTTTTTTTAAAAAAAATTCTTAAGTAAAAATTGGACTTTCTATCGTCTTTTCAAAGTGAAAGTACCAAAGAAGTAATGTCTTGTGTAGTTTTGCATCTCTGTTTTTGTGAAGTTGGACAAAATCTGTTGTACTTTCTTTCCCCTTGAATTATAAGGAGGAAAGCTGTACTTGTTGCTCGTAAGGACTTATGACCAACTTTCATGAAGTAACTGCAAGAGAAAAAAATATTGAAATTATTAGATCTTAAAAGTACATTTCTATAAGAAACCCTTCAGTTTCTTTGTTCTTTAAAATTGAATAATATTACCTAGAAAATAAATTTTATTTATAAACAATCCATTTGCTCAAACTATTCACACGACAATCTTTTTGTAAGGTTATAAAAACCAGGCAGAAGTGTATATTTAAAAAAAAACATGATGAATACTGTCATTTAATTTGATTTCATTAAGTAACCCATTTGTTTTATTTTATGAACTTTATTTCATAAAATAATTGTTTTTATTTTTATTAGAAACATAATTAAAAATCCCCCCCATATGCCAGATGATATTCTGTAATATTTACTCTCCACTTTGTTCGGTTCCCTAATCTGCTGTATTTTAACAACAAGTAGTAAGACGCCTGAGATTTTACATTCTGTGTTTTATGGCAAAAAGTGCTCTCTGATATGTGCAGGTTAGCTTTGTAAAATGTCATCTGGTAATCATATAATAAGGATAATTTTTTTTTTCTTTGACAATTAAATTCCCACATACAAGAATCTCTGTTGCAGAATTTAAGTGACAGATCTCAGCTAAGAGAAGGAAGCCAAGAAAAATAGGAACAGCCAATCAGATCTTGGTTCTCACTTCCCAGTGATAAATGTGCACGCTGAACACATTCACGCGAGTGGGGACTTTGACGGGCGTTGATTAATACTTCCATAAATAGAATGTAATCTTTTGAATCTGCTATAACTCTTCGACTAGCTGAATTACAGGCTGATGAGGGGTGTTAATCCTGATGTCAGCACTGTAGTAATGCTTCACTGAAGCTGATGGTGATTAAAAAAACACAATGTATTAGGAGCTACCGAAGCTTAAAATCAATGCAAACATGTTTGGTGCTATGAATAAGAGATATTGTAAATGAAATGTATTTTATTATGTGTTGTTAATTGTCAAAGGAATGTTACCAGATGTACTCCAAACATCAATCATTTTGGTGATCAAAGTATTTTGGGATACAATGGGTGAAATGGTCTTGTATAGCACAGCGGTTTAATATTAAGGGGGTTAATGTCAGGATAAGCACAGTGCAAAACATATGATTGCAGAGATCCACATCACCTTGCAGCAAAGCAGTTGTTTACACAGTGCTCCCAGTGTGTTTTGCAAGTCATTGCGGTGAACGAATCTGAGATTTTGGAGAATCTACCAGTAAACCTCCCAGTAAGGGTGAAGATTAAGCATGACAGGCACATCACAACGACATGCAGAGTTCGAGAGTTTTAAATTTAAGAGAACTCTGTCATGCTGGGAGGTCTTACAGCGTAGGTACCTCACCATGACGGAGAGGTCTCCATAGGAATGCTTCTGGGCTGGTCCTCAGTAGTGGCACAGATCACAGCTGTTTGTGATACGAGGTGGGCTGTGACATTGAAAAAGGTGGCAGTATCTAGCTTGGTAAATCAAAGCACAACCAGCAGTATAGCACTGGCTTCTACAACGATGAAGCGAGGGGCGCTTGTTTCCCCAAGGCATGTGCCGAGAATTTACAGAAGGGTCATCTCCTGCTTGTTCAATATATGATACAGCATCTTACTGAACTAATATCATTATACAGCTCAAATGACAAAATGTACACAAGCAGCCTCCTCTATGGTCCTCTACCCTCTTGTCGACGTAATTAAAAAATAACCAGCATATGGCAATGTGATATAAGCCATTCCACGTACTGTACAATGAATGATCGCTTACTGAAGCTGTGTTTTATTACACAGCTCTTGCTTTGCGTGTTGTGAGAGACGGTGTGAATTAGTGGAGTGTTTGCAGTTGCAAAGCAAGTTCTTAGCATCTCTTTTTGTATATCTTCATTTCCTGATTCATGCCTTTAAATAACCCCATGGCCTTTTACGATGATGGAGTACTAGTCTGATAGTGTTAGCATAAAGAGAGATTTCCAGCACTCTAGCTACTAAGGTTTCGATCTTTTGCCCATTTGGCAACATTGTGGCTGCTGTCCCCATTCTTGATCTGCCTTATTAATTATTGCGAAAAAGAAACTGGTGGCGAGACATTCCTAATAAAATCTGTTGACATTTTACAGGCCCTGATTGGTGTAATTCCTGTCCTCTTTAGAAATGTCGGTTGCCACATTTCTGTATCGTGTAACACTAAAAGCAGTGCAAATTACTCTTGCAAAATAGTGAAGCTTCTGAAGCTTCACGTTTGAAGTTGGATGCCAGACTGAGCCCCTGAGCATGAGCTAAAATTAATGTTGGCATACCAGATTAATGAAGTACGCAAACTAAGCCTTGTGGGTCTTTGAGAAGGAATTCCTGCATGAAGAGTTACTTAGCTAGATTATATCCCAAGGAGCAGTGGAGTTGCTGAGGATGACTAAGAGCAAATGATATCATTTGGAAGAAGATTTCTTCATCGGGGACACTTATTTTAATCTTTCAATCTGTTCCACTCCAGAAAGGAGTTAAAAAGCTCCAACATTGATCTGGAGAAGCTCTCGAGCATCTTGAGTAAAGTGTATAAATACAGTGCTCATACATTTTTGTTTGTCCTCTTGTTATTCATTTAAGAATTGTCTGAAATAGTAAATTTGTAACTTTTATGTTTTTGTTCAGAGACTGTTTAAAGAGACAGATGAGCCTTTTCTGGAACTTTTAGCTGAATGTTTGTTTTCTATTTTTTCTTCACAGAAACATATGAAGATTTCGATTCTCGGGTGATTGAGGTAAGCCATCACATCAGCTGTCCTGTGAGATTTTTCAAACCATACATCCATTTCTTTAGGAGCTGGTAAAGGTTTGTTACATGCTGAAAGGAAAAGAAGAGAGACACAGCGTTTTGCCTTTGGGGCCTTCTTCAGGTGTCATTTCTTTAACCTGATGCCTACGAGGTTTAACTGTTTGTTTCAAGGTCATATTCAGCCGGGTTTGGAGCGGACACTGGCTGCATTTTGGGGGCTTTCAAGAGAATGTGTCAAGTAAGGTAGAAGTTGGTCATGGGAAAGCATTTGCCCATCTGCCAGATGTTGCTCAGGGCAGTTTCCCTTGCGAAACCTGCAGCTCCTTCCAGGAAGCACCTGTTATGTAGAAGGGCTCTGATGTGATAAGATCTAAGGGCCACCGAACTGTGTTTCAGCAGAATTTGCAGAAGCAAATGGAGACGGAGAGAAAGCAGGCAAACATTATTGTGTTCTAGTGGATTAAGGCGACATCTGCTGACTTTTAAACACTAAGTTCCTGGTTTGCTTATTTTAAAAGGGTCAACAGTGGTAAAATGCTGGCTGTAGTGTTTTGCATTTAGAAGATCATTGATAATTCCTGGTCACCGCTTGCTAGTTTCGCAGAGTGAAATACTATCAGCAGGATGCAAACTCCCGTACTCTGATCAATTAGTGTTGTTTTTTAGGTTGGGATGATGTTGTTAGATGTTTGCAAGTTTGAGCAAAATTAAGAGTTATGCTTGACCACCGCAAGGATAGATTTATGTGCATCTTGCTCTTCATCTGAGCAATTTTTCCATTACCTCCAAAGCATTATGTATACATTAAATCTGATCTCTTATTCCTACCTAACTGCAGAAATCTTTCTGTTCTGTGATTAAAAATATATATAATTTCTCTTTCTCTTAGGCTTTTGACTGCATGTCCCATATTTCACTGTAGCAACGTATTGCTTGGTTAAAGGTGCTGTATAAAGTGCTTTGATATTTACACTGAATTATATGTGCCTTGATATTTCTGTTTATCATTGTTCAACCCCATCCCCTGTCATCTTAGCCTTTTATTTTCTAGCTTTATTGCTTTTTTGGAGATCAGCATGGACAGTCATCATAAAATAATAAATTGCTTATTTTTGGCTCTGGGCAAAACTTTGTCATAATGCTGAGATAACCTTAGCCCTGTTTTCTTCTCACAGATTCAGGCCTGTTAAACAAAATGCACCAGTTCAGTTGGTTTTTATTTCTGTTAAGTGTTCATCATGTTTATTTGTAATCTAATTCCTTCCAGCTGACTGGCTTTTTTGTTAGTGGGATCCAGCTCTTTATTTGACAGAACACTCCGGCAAACATTTATATTTATAAAGAATGCAATTTCTCTCTGATCAAACTAGCACCTGTTTTCCTAAGGTTGTCATCTTTCACTGCCATTTCATTGCTCATTTATTATTCTGAGCAGCTCTATTTATTTCTTTCACTTTTTATTAGGCCTTTTCTCAGTTTCTCAAAAAATAGGTTGTATTTTTATATTCCGCTGACAAAACATACTCAAGTGAAATTTGTTAGCGATAAATCTGATCTCTTAGTGAAAAGCAATGTGTTCTCATCAGAGGGACTTACGAATCTTTTATTGCAATAAAAACCAAAGGCATCAGGATGCATGCAAGTATATTCTAAGCCTTGAATGTGATGTGGAGAATCGTCCGCTACCTTACTTAGCCAATAAGAGCAATCCGTATTTACTAATGTTTTTATTAGGTGTTCTTCCTGAGGGCGCACAGTGTTTGGGCTGCCATCGTGTGACAGACCTCCTTTTCCTGTCACTTTGGGCTGGACAGGAATCCAGCCCTCTGTTGCAGATGCATGCAGCCGTCTGTAAAAAGACTGCTCTAGCTTTTCCGCATCCAAGACTATTCCAGGATTCCAATTATCTTGCATCTCTTCTCTGACAGAAACAAACTGATGAAAACGTAATAAGATTCGATGTTGAAGCCAGCCTTGCTTGTTGTGTCTAATGTGGTACAGGCTTGTGGTGTCGCTCAGGGTTGAGCTGCAGTTAGTTATTAACTGCACACTGCTTTAGTGACTGTCAGCTGTGTATGAACTAGTGCCCGAGTCAAGAGCCAGAGATATAAATTGGGTCCTTTTATCTGTAGGAACAGAAGACGGCTAGTCTTGGAGCACAAGCAGTAACTAATGTGATCCACGGTTCAGAGAGTTGTAGCATGATCAGAAAACAAATTGCTTAGGGTCTTTGCTTAAAAGGTACTGTGCTCCTAATGATGAATTTGACTTGAACTGAAACTGTTGCTGTATGCATGGTAGGTTCTCCCCTGTGTGATGCATTCTAGGAGAAACATGTATGTTACGTCACTGTTCTTCAAGTCTAAAATTTAAGCACATTTTGACGTGCTGTTAACTGTTTTATTGATGTATCATCTGAGATCCTTTATTCAGATGCTCCCTTAATAAATGTTGCAGAATAGTCTTGTTAGATGTCACAGTTTTCAATACCAGTTTGTTATCATGTAATCATGGATTGTAAATGGCATCCTATTTGTGCTTTGATTCAGCATTTAAACAAAGAAATACAAACTATGTGAACAACACCGCCAGTGATTGTTACTTCCCCGTTTCAACTTACCTTTCAGGAGGATATAAAAAAGGAATGTTTTGTTCTTGTATATTTTTTTTCTTTCTTCCATTCAATGAAAAATGTTGATTGTGACATGTTGAATTAAAAAAAAAGCTTTGCAAACTATCACTGCGTTCTCACGGGGTTTTCAACAAATAACAGTACTCATGTACAGTATATGCAGACGGAGAAAGGCAAATTTTCAGCACGGTTAGTAACAAAAGCAGTAATTTCGATCAGCTGTAGTGCTTTTGTTATTGCCCACAATTGTAAATGCTTCATTTTGAATGCTCAATTCAGAGTGGTTGACATTTTCTGACCTCGAAATACGATTGCCTTTCAGACTATCACTGATGGTACTGCTGCTTTAGAGCAGATAATTTGTTTTGTACTTTTTTCTTCTTTCTCTATACAAATCCATTGGCTTTTTTTTTTTTCAAATAAAGAAGGCCTAAACTAGTCTCCAAGCCTCAAACTGATCAGGAGAGGGGGGGTTACTGGAGTGTCTACCCCTCTTAGAACAAGTTGGGCCTGAGACTCTGGCATGTAATTGAAATCTGAGATCTGGACAGGTACTTGGGCAATGGTAGAAGTAAACATTAGATTCCATCCCCAGATTGGTGAAAGACATATAGTGATAAAAATGTCTGCCTCTTTGTGCTAGGTGAGCCCAGTATATCTGAAACCCAGGCTATATGGATCAGTATGGCTGGAATGGGTTGGACTAGGGTTTTCATGTTCTTACAGGAGGTTATATCAGTGGTTCTCAATCTTTTTGGACCAAATACCACCCCTGATCAAACCAAAGCATCCAAGTACCACCTACAAGTCATCTTCTCATAGGAACCCCAGAAATTCTCAATGACCAACATGAGCGCGCGTGCACACACACACTCACATGCACATATAATAAATATTATAATAAACTTTATTTGATATAGAGCCTTTAAAGGTGGCTTCTCAAAGCGCTTTACAGAAAAAAAACAGGAACAACAACAATTAAAAATAAACGATAAAAAGCACAATTTCAGTGAGAGGGGTGTCGATCAAAGCAGATGTGAATTCATTTTACAAGCCTTGATACAATTCACAACAGAGTCTAACAGATTTTAAATCGTCTGGCTTTTTCTTGACGGCAAAGTTCTCGCGGTGGATGTTGCAATGCGTCCATTCATTTCTGGAGCAACCTCTCTAATTCATGCAACTGCATTGGCTTGTCATCGCTCTAGCACCATCTGTACAAACTCCAACACATTTATCCATTTTATCGATGCCATTCTCTTTTCATTCATTCAGAGGCTGAAATATGTGCTGTCCTGTAGGTCCTGTTGGTTGCGGCTTACAGAACAGAAAGACCTCATGGGACGTACCCTCAAACTTGTATCTAACATAAACGAGTAAATTGGCCAAATCGACTGCAGACTCATCTAATTGCAGTGAAAAGCATCTGCTCATCTTAACGCGCTCTACCAGCATACTTTTGACATCATCCGCCATATCAGTAATTCATGAGTGACTGTGTCTTTCGGAGGGGGCAGCCGGTCAAGCTGTTTAGCAGCTTTTTCTCCACACATAATACGTGTCAGCTCTTTTGCCAACAGTAAATAAGGTTCTTCAAAAATAGTGTGGGGCTTACCTGCTTTAGCAATCCGCAAGCTTGCATTTTTCCCCGTTTCCGTTTCAGGAGTCTGTCTCCGAAGTTCAAAGAAGTTTTTATTTCATGCGCATGGGAGCGAAACACGGAGACGCTCCGTGTATTTTTCTCAAATTAACCTAGAACAGTTCTTAAATATTTTTCTGTTACCTATCACGCTTTCCTTTGCTCACAAGATTGCCAGCGTTCGCAGTATGCATTTCTATGCATTCCTGTGCTTACAACATTCGCATTGTTCCAAAATCCCACGCATTCTCCAACCTCCCTATTTGCTGGACTTTTTTAAATACAGTTGGTCACTTGCGTTCGTAGCACACATTCCTATACAATGGTGTCCACTCAAGTATTAGCGCGCGCTGTATCGTAGTACGTAGGCTGTGTATTCGACATGTATTAAAATAGAAAATATGAAAACCCGTCCCGATTTTTCAGTGTGCACATCAATTTTCCAGGGTTATATGGCGTACCAGCTGGTGGCGCTCCGTGTACCACTCGTGGTACGCATACCATGATGATATGTAATTAAGTTACTAATAAATTGAAATTGATTACATCTCTTTTCATAAAGGTTAGTTATATAAGGTTTAGTCTTTACTGGAGTCTATTATGGCCTCCTAAAACTGGAAAGTATAATACATGACAGCCAATTGTTCATATTTGAATTAATGACATTTCCATTGTCAGTGATAATGGAATACTTAAGTACTCTGGGATCAGTAAG